TAAATTATATAACTATATATAGATTATTATTATTATAATAATTATTATTCTATTATTATTATTTTTTCGAGATTGTGGAAAGATGGTTAAAATTTAAAATATACCTTTCCACAAAAAAAGGACCACAACGTTAGATTATTTTTTTTTAATAAATACATACACATAATTAATTTTAATTTTTTTAAATTCTGATTTAGTGTGGTGCTGACATGTGACACTTTTTCTTCTCCTTTATATGTGCAATTAGATGGTTCAAATTTAAAATTTTAATTAAATTATTTCTTTTTTTATTTATATTTTATAATCTTAAATTGCAATTTCAAACTATTTAATTTTTAGTTATTTATAAACTAATTTTAATAAACTTTATTATAACAGCTTTTAAAACAATTTTAGAAGTAGAGAGTTAACGTCTACGGTTAGAATTTTTTTAGTTTTTTCTTTTTAATATTTTTTACGTGTAATTTAGTAGAAGTAGATAATGTTAATAAACTTCATTATAACACCTTTTATATATGCTTTCAATATTTTTTTTGCATAAATTTTTTTAAAATAGCATTCTTTTTCCGTCTATTTTTTAAATACAGATTAAAAAAGATTGATTAAAAATTTGTAAATTGTATTTTAATTTTAATTAATAGATTATATAAAATTAATTTTACGTAATTATTAAATTAGTGATCATAATCTGAAGTTGCATATATATATATATGAATAAGTATAAAAAAAAGTATTAAAAAAAAAAAATAAAACAAAAAGTAATGGACTTATAAAACATATAATTAACTTTCAGATTATTTAAAATATAATATATTTAATTTCTAATATGTACATACGTATATGTATATATTTTCCTGGAAAAAAATGCTCAATTTTAAAAGTTTTTGACTAATTCTCTACTCGTTGAAAGAGTGAAAGTTTAACATTGAAATATGGAGATGATCTTCATGTACTTTTTCAATGTTATTGAGAGATTCATCGTCACTATCTAGGCCATTAATATTATTTCATGAAACTATCTTCATTGATGTCTTTTGATTTTATGTTTTGATCAATAAACTTACTTTCTTGGTTGCTTCCATTTAAAAAAAAATAAAGATAAAACTTACGTGAATTCATGATTGCTTTAAAAAACTTTCAAGCATATATGCAAAATCTTGTAAATATTCAACCTAAAGATAAATTATTTCACATCTAAATATTATCATACTCAATATTAAAAATCAAAAAATAATCCATAGTCACAACATAATTAAAAAAAAAAAAAATACATTCATTTTTGAGAGTTTTCAATTTCTTTCATAATTTATTTATCATTTTTTTAATCCTCTATATAGTTCATAAAAAAACAATATATTTCCTAACAAAATAGGAAGAAAAAACACAGAGGCCTCAAAAAAGTGAGATTTTCCCATAATTTATCACAAAGTCTGTTCAGTACTATAGTTTGCAACAAACTCCTCTTTCTTGAGATATGAATTGCTCACTTAATTGTTTAACTTCTCTTGATTTTTCTCGATTATTTTTTCTTGACTCGATTATGATCATAAATTTGTGCCTTCTTTTAAGAAGGATAAAGATTTTTTTGGAAAACAGTTACATTGATTGGGGAAGAATTATCTGTTTGTTTGAATATTTTATCACTAACCACTCCTTTTATTTTAGGATAGAAGTGGGAAGTTAATGTGCAGTTAAAATATTTTATTTTATTTTCACTATTATTAAATAAAAAATGTGCAGTTAGATGGTTCAAATTTAAAAAATACCTTTCCATAAAAAAGCACCACAACGTTGAGCTTTTTAAAAATATTTTTAATTTTCTTTTAGTGTTTGAAATTTCTATTTTTATTTTTAGAATTCCAATTAATTTTAATAATTTACAAATTTTGTTTCTTTTGGTAGTGCTGACAATAAACATTTATAAATTTTTTAAGAGTCCAAAACGTGTTAAACATATATAACAATTATTTTTATTTATAAGTTTTTATTTTCAATATTTGATGACTTATGTTTTTTACGGGTTTATTTAAAAAAATATTGGAGTTTGATCTTTTTTAAAATAAAAGCTAGGATTTACAAAGTTTTCACTATCTATTTATTTTGTTTTAAGAACATAAAACATTTTTAATGCAAAATATATTAACTATCTTTCCACAACTTCTAAATTCAATATTTTAAAAATAATAATTCACTATTATTTTAAATAAATAGATTACTGCATTTATATATATAATGTTTAATATTTTATATATAAGAAGAAGAATAATTCATTTATATATAAAATCCTCGATGAGAAAACTAATAAAAATTATATTTGTTTTGTACCAAATAAATATATTAGTAATTAATATAATCTAACTGTTAGTCTCTATATCTATATATGTAGATCTATCTAATTTTTAACATTTAAAAATGTCAAAAGACAAAGAAGTTAAAAGTTGCAAACAATAAAAAAAAAAAAAGGTATGGATATAAAATTTGCAAACAGTAAAAAAACAACAACAAATTTTACGCTTGCAAAATTACAATTTCAAAAACAAATTAATCTTTATTTTAAAAAGAACATTTATCCAATTAAATAGGGAGTTCTAAAACTCCTTTGCCATGTTGCTAAAAATTAGGGTTAGATAACTATTATCCAATTCATTTTGAATTTTAAATTTCAAGTAGTCAACTAAATAAATAGGTTACGGATGTATTAGTTATTTAAAAATTATATAAGTCCTGAATTAAATATAACTGGTCACTTTAAAATTTCATTAACTTTAAACTTCTCCCAGTTGAAAGGACTTTACTCTCCATTAGACAAAGAACTCCTAAACTACATTTTGTCAAGGTAAGTTGTCATATATCTTTAGATTATTTTTTGTTCATCAAAACTGAATAGTAACTAGCCTTATATGTTTGTGGTTTTATTTTTGTAAAATGAATTGTATCTATGTAAGTGCATATTACAACGGAATGATGATAATAAGTGCTCAAATAGTTGTGAAGAAACGAAGAAAGACATACGCGAGTGAAAAATAAAGAATTATGTGTGAAGAACATTACAATTAAAATCTTGATGTATATTGTTGTGCATTGCAAGAACAAGATGGTCTATGACGCTCCGATATTTTTTTTTCTTTTTTTATTTCCTCTAAACACAATAAAATATAATTTTCTGTTTCTTTGTTTTTATATTTGTAAGATTAATATTTTATTTTATTTTTGCATGTGTTTTTTTTTTAATAATTGCTTACAGAGAATTTTATGAGTTTTTATTGTTTTAAAAAATAATTAAAAGGGATCTATAATCTAAATTATTATAAAGATAAAGAAAAAACATGTTAGTAAACCTCATCAAATAGATTATTTTAAAAAAAAAAATAATTGTTTGCCTTTTTTTCCTTTTTTCTTTTTTTGTTAATTTTTTTTGTTAATGCTGCTATAGGAACTACAAATTTATGTTTAGAGTTACATAGATTTAAAATACAAATAGATTTAGCCTATTTTTTTGTACCAAATATTTTAACAAAATATGTGACAGATAATTGTACGTACAAATGATGATGCTATAATTTAGGGTTGTATAGCGAGAGAAACAAGGAATATTGGAATATTGTTATTTTTGTTTTGCTAATTATATTATAATTTTACATAAATTTGATACGGAAAAAATATTTTGAATTTTTATTTGGATTTAACATAATATTTTTATTCAAACGACATAAAAAGAATAAAGTACAAACACATAAAAATATTTTAAAAGTATTGCATATCTGATCAAGAAAAAATAATTATAAAATTAACAGTATCCTTAGAAAAATTTCAACATAATATATTATAAAACTAAAGCGTAGTTAATACAATAATATTTTAATACAATAAAATAACTTATGTATTAATAATATTAATTTAATTTGCTCAAATATACCAGTTAATGATTTGTATATTATTATTATTATTATTATTATTATTACTACTATTGTAAATTAAATAAATTATTATCTGCATAATACATTTTATTAGTTATTTTAATTATGAAATTAATACATTTTAAATCATCCGCACAACACGCGGACACGTATACTAGTTACCAAAACGCTAGGCTAAAAGTGGAAAATTTTAGTTGAAAGATTCAGTCTTTTAATGATTTCTTAGATGGTGAATGGCTTGAATTTCAAAAAAAAAAATGTGGGATATGATCAATGTGCATTGGAAGAAATGATTACCAAAAACTTAGGCTAAAAGTGAAAGTTTTTCAGAGAATTCTGAAGTACAGAAATTTACCTAATCATAAGCAAAAAGTATTTACATCAGCAAGTGAGGGTGTGGAAGGGTGATATGTATTTACACCAATACTGAACAAAAGAACTAGGTAAGAAAGTGAGACACACACAAAATCCATTTCTACTTGTCAGTTCAATGAGGGGGAGTGTGCAGCGTCACAAGATCTAAAACTTCCCAAGTAAATCCAAGAATGTTCTGTATTACACTTTCTATTCACACCAAGTAAAAGCAAGGGGAAATGGAGAAATTTGAGGGAGAGAGCAGTGGTAAATGACAAATGGAAGAAATGAAAATGAATGAAGAGAAACGTAAGACTTTGACGATGTGGGCACTTAAAAGAGTAACACGTGGTATAATTAATGTGAACCTCCGAGAGCTCCTTTGGTCGTCCACAAGACCTAAAGTTGTAGTGACTGAATCACTTTTCGTTTGGATCATTACTCATGAAATGGTTTTCTCATGTAAAGATTGCTATTTCTTAACAAAACCACAAACGACACTTCTAATTAGCATAATATGCCAGCAAAGTGAATACAAAAATTATTTCATAAGAAACCAAGATACCATAACATTTGGTTACCACAAGGGTAATTCCAATAGTAATTAGTTACACACTACATAGAGAAGACAAAGATTCCATGAGTAGTTTATCAAAAACTCAAAATATATAAGGCAACATTTCTAATATCTCGAGATAGGAAACTACTAGCAGTGAACTCATGCAAAGCTCATTCCTGGAAGTTAATCGCAGCATTGGTGGACGATCTTGGACAACCTAACAATTTGTCGGCCAATAGAGATAAATGTTGGGATAGACAGTTCATTGAACATGTCTCGCACCTTCTTCTCTTTGATATGATAATGACGAAATTCTGCAAAACCGGTGCATTCAATAACAGATATTCTGAAAGTTTGGTAACCTTTTCAAAGCCCCTTTTGACATGATCTTTCCAGCACGCATCTGAGGAGATGACAATCTTAACCTTCTTGAGGTTGTGAAACTCTACGCTTGAAACCCCACTCAGCAAATCCATATTATCTTCTTTGGCCAAATCAAGTAACTCAGAGTTGCAGCAGAAATTGTAGATCGGGAAATCATCTAACTGGAGACAAAAAAAATATAATCAGGACCAAATGCAGGTCAGATTAAATGTGACAAACACTTCAACGAAATGAAAAGATGTAAAAAGAAGAGATAAGTTCCAGGAAGTTTACCAGCGTATATTCCAATTCTATGTTGATTGTTTCCACATGTGGCGAGGCTCTCAAAAGACCAGCTACTCCGTACATATTAAACGTTGTCATATGCAACATCAGCGTTAAATATTTGCAATTCAATTCTGAAATGGGCAACCCTTTGAACTGCAATGTGCACATGACCTGGTGCAGTAATCCCAACGAAACTAGTAAATAATGGAGAAAACAATTACAACAAAAGGGAAGTACTTCACAACAGACAGATAGTACTTTGACAAAACTAATTGTCTAAACACAGCTCTAAGAAACATCAATATTGTAAGGACTTTCGAGTTAAAGACAAACCTGTGTGAACCAAGTTCCAATTGTTAGATCAGTTGCATAACATAACTTTTGAAGATTATCTTGGATGAGGGTATATACTACTTGATGATAGTCACGGCAGCAGTCTTCCACATAAGTACTTGGAATACCTAATCATCTATTACTAACAACAGCAAGTGGGGGTGTGGGAGGGTTTTATGTATTTACACCAAAAAGTATTGTTCCTATCCTGAACCTCTTGGATATCTGATGCATTCAAAGTAAATCATTGAGGAGTTACATTGACAAAATAAAATGGAGAAAAAGGTAAAGCTGAAATGGAATGTCTACCAGCCTTATAGTCCCATGAATCATGATCTTGCGGAACTGTAAGCATTAGTTCCTAATCCTGAATTGGATTCAAGTTGATCTTTACCATATAGTTGCTCGTACTTTCTGAACAAAAGAACAAGAACTAGGTAAGAAAGAGACAGACACACAAAATCCATTTCTACTTGTCAGTTCAATGAGGGGGAGTATGTATAAGTCGGAGTGTGCAGCGTCACAAGATGCACTTGGCCTGGCTTACTTACTCAGCGGAAGACTCTAAGCATTATTACAATTATCAAATGCACTTACTCAATTGTTTAATAAAATAACACAGAATGTTTAAAAGTCAACATTCAACTTGGTCAAAATGGCAACTCAAGTCTCAACTTAACTGAAAAGGAAAGTAAAGACTTATGAACTAACATCAACTAACTCTGTCTATGAAGTCTCTAAACAACTGAGATGGACTTCGGGACAAGACCCACGACATCCTAATGAACTAAAATACTGAAAGCAATAAGAAGGATCCTCTGAAAAGCTAGGAGGCTCACAAACTGACTCTGAGTGCTCAACTGGATCAATGAGGCACTAGATTCTAATCATGATTACCTGCGTCTACATCATAATACGATGCAGGCCAACTGGGATCAGTACATTGAATGTATGAGTATGCGAGTTG